TTAGGAATTCTAGGATTTTTATTTATTTTTTACTTATTTCATGAGTACTATTCACAAGTACTGTTTATAGAGATAAAACTGTCTTTACAAATTTTTAAGTTAAGTTAAGATAAATGGGTCAATGTATTATTTGTTTGGACGCTTTGTTGCTTCGAACATTAGAATATAATATATAAGTGGTGTGGGGCCTTGATGGGGTCATTTCACATGATTTTTAGAAATTGAAAGAGATAAAAGTTTAGGCTTTTGGAACCCTAGCTTGGGGTGTGGAGAAGAAACCCTAGATTTCTTTTTCTTTTTTTTTTTGATAAAAGTTAACTGTATTTCATTGAAATAGTTAATACAGAGGTATTAAAACCGAGGGTCCCTAGGTGGTGGGACTCCTCGTAATCGGTCGTCAGACAACCTTATACAAAGAAGTTAAGAGAACAGCCCTTTATGGTACAAGAAATGGGGTTATAAGTCGCCCCTTTGTACAAAAAAAATTGTGTGATAAAAGACAAAATTAGATGGCCAAGAGCTGTTGTTCCTTTATCCTTTTGTGTCTTCAGTTTGAGCTCTGGTCCCGTATTTTGCTAGAAGGTCAGCCAAGTCGCTTGACGTCCTCAAGGTATGCGTCCATGAGACGTCCATAGCCCTGCAAATGTCAATGATCTCATCAAAAATGGGAGCAAGATACCAAGGAGGGGAGGAGTCCCCCTAATCCCCAAGAAATAATGTTACTAGCGTCCCTTTCCACAGTAAGATTTTGCCCCCAGGACGAATTGAAGCTTTTCAATCCCAAGAGGGCCATTACCTCAGCATGCTAAGACTCTTGGATGCCCAGGTATTCGAAGTACGTAAACAAAATTGCCCGGCGGTGGTCCCTAAACACTCCTCCTGCTCCAGCATGACCAGGGTTTCCAAAGGAGCACTCGTCGAAATTAAGTTTAATGGTACCTCGGGTGGGGGGTTGCCACATATGGGGTCCTTGAGCCTTGCGAGGGCAGTGGAGCATGATATTTTTCCAGCTGTAGAGAAAAGCACTAACAGGGAGACTAGCAAAGATACGGTGATTGGAAGCCATAAAAGTTACTAAGGATGTAACTTTATGGAACAAGGCTGGACCTTCGGTAGCTATTCCTTGGAAAATCCTAGAGTTCATCTCATTCTAGATTGTCCAAATAATAGCTGCCACTGCAGCTTTCCAAATTGTTCTCCCTGCGGCTTTCCAATAGTGCTTTCCAAACACTATAAACCCTAGATTTCTTTGAATTGTGATAGAAATGGCTTTGTTTCTTGCTGATTTTACTGTTCTTTCAGATTCTACATCAGTAGCTCACTATATAAACTTCATTTTAGAAGCGAGGGGTTAGGTTGAGAAAGGGAAGACAACTACAAAAATCATATATAATGACTTACACGTCATTAACTTAATGGGCCAAATAGGAATCATAAGGCCTGCTATCACTAGATTATCCACCCCATACTTGACTATAAAGTCAATCCTAAGGTCACAATTGGGATTGAAGAAGATGGTAGGATCTGAGGAATGTGTTTCTGCAGCTATCTCTACGATTCAACCCGCAAGAGAATTCAAAGGAATCATTAGTGACTGCAGGTTTTGAGATAAGCGTGATCAAATTGTTGTTGCCCCTGCAAGACTTGAAGCAGTCCTCAAGTTGGTTGATTCAGATGTAAAGCACTGGACCGAGCAAAGCAAGAGATACAAGCCCATTGCAAATACCCGTATCATCGGAGAGAAGTGGACTGACACACTACACCACCCTATCCATGGAGCACATAACTTTCAATTTCGAGTTACAATATATAGTTTTATCTTAATTTCTAATTTGACCTAACCATTAATATCAATGCATTCAGGTTTCTTCTTTAACCCGGCATACCACAATCAACCATGTCAGAGCCATCACCCTACCATCATAGTAGGGGTGAAGTTCTACATTGGAAGATTAGAGCTGAATTGAAGCCTTAAAAAAGTAAACTTCTGTTTGAAAGGTGACCTAGCAAAGATCTTTAGTTTGCCGCAGTTTGTATACCAAAAATGTTTGATTTGTTCGTTTAGCTTGCATTATATATGAATATACAAAGCGAATCTAGGTCAAACCTTACGAGAAGTACCATACATCTAGAACCATATTACTTCGAAAATTCTCATAAATCATTAAGTATTACAATAGAACTAGTCTATGTGATTTTAATCTTATTGGACTACTTCATCTTCTCCCTGTTAAATGAGATAGTAGGAGAAACACGAAAGCAATACCCCTCTCTTCCAAAGAAATGCAATCAGGTTCCAAACCAAACTTCTTCCGCCATAGGGTGCAAGTGAAAGTTAAGTACATTTTAGTGGATCCACACATTAAGGAGGAAACTACAACCTTAATCAAAAGAAGAGGTGGCAAAGGAGGGAAGTGAAGAATTACAATCCAACGAACCTAGACTACATATTTGAGGAAGATCATGCAAAGGAACGCTAGCAAAGCAAGAAGAACCGATCATCAACAAGAAAATCCTTGAAGAACAAGCCAGTCCAAAGCCAGAGGAGCAAGGGAGAGAAACCAAGGAAGCCACCGCAAAAGGCAGAGCCAGAGAAAGATTATAGGTAGGATGTTGATAGGACTCATTTGAATTTGCCCTAGAAAATTAGAAATTATGGATCCATTGATTGTTACATTAGATTATCAGATAATTTGAGCATGTCCATGCCAATTAAATCAATTTCTATCATTTTCCATTTTGTCTATAAGTTTTGTAAGTTGCAACTTTTTACATTTTTATTTTTTCTTGTTGGATTAATTATATTGTCCCCGCCTTTTGGGACACCTTTATGGGCACGTCGAATTTGACTCGAAAGAGAAAGTCCACTGACTCATCACACTGAGTCGCTCCAGGTCCCTTCAGAGTCCTAAAGAGAATCTAAGGTTTCTAACACTGTTATAGGCCAACACTCACAAATAACACCAATGGATTTCTCATGAATTTCCATCTTTCCTCATTCCATGGTATTGCCAAGTCTTTAAAAAATAGGAATTATGGTCCAACTAAGCCCCCTGAAAATCCTAGTCGGATTGTAGGTTCCTAGTCAGTTTGTTCAATTCAGGAAGATCCGTCAAAAATTGACCTGAAAAAATGTGAATTTTTTTAAAAAATACATTGATGCCATTCTGGATGGAATAAGTTTTGGTAGAAACAGATGGAAAAGAGAGTGAAAGATTGACTTTTCTTACGTGGAAGTTCAATTCAAATAAGTATTTTATCAAAGGAGAAGATCACAATTCAAAGGAGCCTAGTTAATAAATCAAAGGAAAAACATTAGATTTAAAAAATAAAAAATAAAGAAAGAAAAAACATATGCTCAAAAAAGGTAAACAGAAAACAATCTGAAATTAGAAATTGTAGATCCACATGAATCTCTACTTCAAAAATTCATGTCATTGCACCAATGTGCTATAGAGGGCATGACACAGGATCTCCATTTGGGCTCTGAATCAAAAGCAAACCAAAATTTGATATTCAAACTTCAAAGGAAATCAGTAAGAGAAATAGAAAAGGAAAAAAAACAATTGCCCTCAAAAATGGAGAAAATGTAAAAGAATCTAGTAGAGAGAGAAAAGGTACACAGGACACCTGTTTTTAGAGAAAAATGGGTTAAAATGGGTCAAAAGGTGGAAAATGTGGGTCCGATAATGGAGTATGAGAAAATTGGGCAATGACAAAAATGTCCAATGGCCAATTTTTTGCCGAAAATCACCCCTTTCACCCGAATGAGCCAGGCCATTTTTGAAAAAATTAAGGGACAGTCAGCAGTTCTAGAGTATCTGGAACATGTGACTGCCCAACTCCAAGTCAAAAGCAGATGATTCATATGCAACTTGGGGATTTTTCAATCATATATATTACCCGAGGCAATGTCTAATAAGAGTGAGGATCATGAACTTTCCCTTTACCCATCCCATGCCTGGGTAAAGGAGGTGGGTTGTGTTAGGTTGGCAGCCAATGTAAAAATTTGCCACATCTTATGATGAATCGTGAAAATGGAGGAACATGATTCATGTAACAGACCCAAAATAATTGGGATAAAGTTTGGATGATGATGATGTTGAGGTATTACCAGAGATCCAAGCATTTATGAAGGCCAAATTCTAATATGGAAGAAATAGTGTAGTGCATCGTACCATATCCATTTCATTTGTATTTTGGAAGTTTATTCCAAGACAAATGAAAGTATCGATCTTAAATTGCATCTGCATGAGCTTTCGACCTTTCTCTCACTTAAAGAAATAGCTTTACTGCATGAACCAATAGCATGTCGTTTCATGTCATTCTAAGAACATCAATATCCATTTTGACCAAGCTTTAAAATCATTCAATCTGAAACCTCTCAGCAATAATGGAAGATTGCCACGAAATTCAAAAATCAGAAAAACAAATAAAACTAAGAAAACCTACAATGTTGCAGCCTGGATGTCAATCTCTCATAAAATACAAATTCTATGCAAGTTGAATGGAAGACTACGAGCAACAAAATCATATTGTATGCATTCCAACAATTTTATTTAAGTGAAATGATCACTTGTTGGGCTGTTGTACATGTTTGCATTGGTTTCTGTCTTGATTTCGATAAGAGGGCCTCCTTTTCATTTAGGATTAAAACAAGTATTTTCTAATTTGTTTCAGGCAAAAGCGGCAGTCTCTCCCATGTGTGAGAGAACTTAAAAGATCATAGAAGGTGGCCCCCAGAGAAGCCACTAAAACACATTACTGAAGTCACCTAAAAAGTCGCCAAAACTCATATGGTATGTGTTTTGCAGCAGCATCTAGACAACACCTAAATGAGGCGAAGTAGAAGACATAGAATGCTTCAATATAAAGATGTATCACTCAAATGTAAGTAGATATTATGCAAAACAATCATATGATCCAGAATGAACATGATTTCAAGGACAAAAACTATGTTTATGTGAATGCAGAGAAACGTCCATTGTACAATACATTACCAGTTTGACAAGACGGGTGCGATAGTCCCCAGGCAATGTAAGCTGCAACAGATTTAGAGTACAATAAGTATTAAATGATCCAAAATAGAAAATAAAATAAAAACTATATCAAGATAAAAAACAGGAAGATGGAAGAGGAGAAAATACACGTAGATGAATGTTTCATGCAGCATTTAAGGTCATTTTAGTTTTTTTCTCTTTTTCTTTTTCATTTTTGGTGAATTACAGATACAGCAATTCACCTACATTGCAAAACTAATAGTGCCAAACAGACAATCAAACAGAAACAAGAGAACTTCCCAAAATACTAAAGCTGATTATACCCTAAGGATAAGAAAAGAACCACAACAACATCACGTAGGGACAAGAAAAGAAATATTACGGAGCAAAACAGTGTTTTCATTTGATCTTTCATGCTAAATAGTTATGCTAAGTTGTAAACTAAGAATTAATTAATAGATAGAAGCCATGTAATATACAACAAAACTACCAAAGTTCATCCATAAGTAATAACTAGGTAATGCTTTGCACAATTTCCTCCCCAGAAGTAATGTATCTACAACAAAACTATTCAAGTTCATCCATAAGTAATAACTAGCTAATGCTTTGCACAATCTCCTCCCCAGAAGTAAGATGATAAAACTTAAAATATTTATCTATTAAAAATTCAATTTTCATTTTTACTTCATTTTAAGCCATTATTGTTACTTTTATAGTTGTTTAAGTTTTGTAAGATGATAAAACTTAAAATAGTTTTCTATTAAAAATTCACTTTTATTTTTTACTTCATTTTAAGCCATTATTGTTACTTTTATAGTTGTTTAATTTTCTAACCGCTTAAAAAAATTTCCTAATATTTTTATGAATAAGCTAAATAATCTCATAAAAATTTATTCGTATTAAATAATCAGCCTATAAAAAGCCGTTTCTCGATTTTCAATTAAGTTTTCTTTTCCCCCCCCACTCCTATATCCCTATATTATTTATAAAGGGAAATGACCTTGTGAGACCCTCCCACACCCATTTGTGTAGGACCCCAAAAGATCACTATTGAATTTGGCACAGATCTCTAGAAAAGTCAAGTCCCACACCCATGTGATAACTTTTTTAGAGATCTGTGTCAAATTTAATAGTGATCCTTTAGGGTCCTACACATATGGGTGTGGGAGGTCTCATAGGATCATTACTCATTTATAAATAAGGAAGAACAAATAAAAATGTAACTCTAAAATTTCTCACTGCTCTTATTTTCCCCTCCAAATTTCCTAAAATATCTCCATCTTTCTTTCTCTCTGAAGTGTCATCTCTAAAATCTTTTAACTTAAAAATGTATTTGATTTGTTTCCTAAATTCAATAATAAAGTTTTTCTCATTCATGTCCATCTTTCCTTAAAAATTCTTTTATGTCCTTAAAAATATTATATTCCTTTTGGCAACTCCATCATTGAATTTCGATAACAAATAAAAGAGATCTTAAAGAAAATATGTTTTATAGATTAGCCTAAATTCAATAATGAAGTTTTTCTAATTCATGTCCATCTTTACTTAAAAATTCTTTTATGCCCTTAAAAATATTATATTCCTTTTGGTAACTCTGTCATTGAATTTCGATAACAAATAAAAAAGATCTTAAAGAAAAGATGTTATAGATTCGACAGATAATAAGAGAGTGAGATACTTTAGGAAATTTGGAGGGGGAAATAAGAGCAGTGAGAAACTTCAAAATTACACTCTTATTTAATATCCATTATATACATAAAGATGTATGCAGAACAACTATAAGAGAAGTCCCAGGCAGAATATGGACAAGCAAAAGTCTAGATTGTCCACTGACAGTTTCATGTAGCCGACCCCAAATATTTGGGATAAGGCTTGGATGATGATGATGATGATTTCCACTAACTGTTTCATGTGTCACAAGGTTTACTATCTTGAAATGCCTTGCGGATGCGTAATATATGAAAGAGTTTATTCTGTTATATAACTAGCATATATGATGTTTATTCAAGGTTTACAGCAGAAAAATAGTCTATTGAGAGTACAAATACATGAATTTGAAAACACTTAAATTTCAAAGAAAGCATCCAAAGAACTCTAGATATAGATCATCAGGATTCTCTTTCACACATTGCTCCAAAAAACAGCCCGGCTGCCTACACCATATGAGCTTTCAGAGCCTCTTTTGAACAAAGAGGTGGAACTCACGAGGGAGTTCGTGAACACAAATAAGGAAGCATGGGCTCAATAGGAGATATCCATTATGACCAACCCTTGGAGGGATAAGAAGAGGAGTCAGATGAATTTGTTCGTCAACTATCCTTTGGGACAATTTTTTTCAGATCTATTGATGCTCTTGATGACAATCATGATGCCCGTACAATATGTAAATTGAGTGAGATGGGTATTAAGGAGGTTGGAGAGTAGCATGTTGTTCAGGTGGTCACAGTCACAGACAATCCTGTTTCTAATTAGCTGCTTCTTAGTATCTTTTGGACACCATTCGCAGCCCACTGCATAGTCATTATGCGTAACGCTATTGGCAGTATATACAAGATTGATTGGAAGCACAGTTAATAAGGCTAGGTAAGTTATAGCCTTCATCTAAAAAGCAGATGCCACAACCGCCATCCAAGGGCCACTACATCATCTACATAGAGGAGGGGATGGAGGAAGAGGAGGAAAACGCAGATTCAAAAGAAACAAAGGTGAATGAGTGCTATGTTGAAAAGGGATGACTCGATGATGAAGGACTCACCTCTGATGTACGGGATGAGGCTGCAAGATAGATATAATATAACCTGGCACTTTTAAACATCAATTGTCGAATGGCTTAGTGGCTATATCAACCCCCTTTGGGGGCCTCATTTACGAGGGATTTTGGGTTCGATTCCCACAAACCTTTTTTTAAGCCCTTCTTTATTGTTTTTTAAGCTCATGTTTATTGTTATTTTGGGTAGGCCCAAAAGGACGTGGTTGGAAATAATTCGAAACGATATGGGGAATTATGGCCTCACTGAGGGTATGGCCTTTAATAGAGCAGAATAGCAGACCAAGATTCGTATAGCTCACCCCAATTAATTGGCAAAAGGCTATGATGATGATGATGGTGTTAATTGTTATTTTAACACTTGAAAAAAATGACAATAATGATGGCAATGTTATATGGGGGGATTCGAACCCCAGCCGTGAGGTAAAATATGCGTGAGCACCATCCAAAACACCATTTGTGCTACTTTTGACTTAAGATTGACATAGTAATTTATATAAACTATAAACTTTAGCGTACACTTCACTCGGCAAAAACTCGCCTTGCCCTTAGGGCGAGGTCGAGTTACTCGACCGATTCCGAATGGCCTTGGCCGAGTCTCATAACACTATTATGGAGTCTGGTCTATGGGCTATGTTATGCTCAAAAAGTCGGCCACCCAACTTCCTGAGCAGCGCCTCACTGCCCCGCACTAGGACTATTCAGGCAAAAATGTCCTTTCCCCCTTGAAATGGGGTAAAATTGTATTTGGGATGCATTTTAGCCCCCTAAAACCCAAAACAAACCTATTTTGTCTCAAAAAAACTTTTTTGTTAAAAATGAAATTTATTAAGGATCGCAACCGAATTTGTAGTTTTCGATTTCAGGGAGAATCAAAAGGCATTCCATCATAAACTTTTTAGGGATTAAAGAGGTTGCAAAATATAACTTTTGGCAACTGAAAGTGACTGATTCAAGCTTATTTTTATTGCATTTTTTAAAGGTTAGTAAATTCAATTGTTTAAGTTTATGGTTTCGCATTTATTGTGAGTATTGTATTATGTTATTTTTTGCTTTGTTTTTCATCTATTTGTTTTTGAAGTTTGGCTTAACATTTATGATGATATGCTTTTTTTAGATTGCTATTTCTTGAAGAAAAAAAAATTCGTTGGCTGTATACTGCATTATGCTATGCTTCATGAGTGGTTTTTTTTTTTTAATCTTGCTATTTTTTGTGATTATAATATATTTATAGCTATGTTTTAGCTATATTTGAAAAATATAACTCTATGTATGGCTATGTCTGTAATTAATAATGCAAAATTACAGATTTATAACTACCCAAAAAAACATAAATTTATAAAAACCCCTAACCCCTCCCCCCCAGCCCCCCCCTTATTTTTCACACAGTGGTCACCCAAGTCACTACCGCCCATGCAGTTGGGATCCCCGACCACTTGAGCAGTCGCCCCCATCTTTTTTAATGTTGGGGCTATGGATTATGTATTGTAAGTTTGTGAATATATTATATTTACTTTTGGGTGTGCTAGTATTAGTAATTTAGTACTTTGGTTTGGAACTTTGGAGTTTAGATTATGGGATATTGGGATTTTTATATTTTGTGATGTGTTAATGTGCTATTGTCAACTTGTCATATACTTTAGTTTGGATTTGGCATGATTCCACATAAAAATGTATAAAAATATACATGAATATGCATTATTTTATACAAAAGATGCCCCTAAAGCAAAACTCATGGATATCCCATGTCTCCCTTCTTAACCTGGGTCGCCTAGATCCATGGGCGCTCACTAGGCACTAGGCAGTCTAGACCTCCCTAGCCGCCTAGGCACCGCCAAGCCTTTTCTGGAGCACTGCCTGGGCGACTGCCCAAGCGGGGTCCAAAGCCCAATTATGGGTTGGCACCGAGGGTATCCCCCTTCTTTTGAGGAAATAAAAAAATTCCCTAAGGACAATTCGGGTCTTTTTGACCCACGAAATAGAGTAAAGGCGGTGTTTAGGGATATTCTAAAACCCCAAAGTGAAAAAAACTCCAACCTAAACCCTAGAAGCACCCTAAATTGATCAATTTTGCAAATTGCTTTGAATCAAAAAATTTGTGAGGTTTGTAGAAGCATTCAAAAGTTTACCCCTTTCTTGTTGGAATTTTTTCTAAGTTGCTTGCACGGGTATTATAAGATTTAAGAGGTGAGTTCTAGCTCTGTAATATTTGCTATTTGTTAGAGAAAATCATAGGCTCAAGGAGAAGTTAAATCAGCAAAAGAAGGATCATATCCAGTCCAACGATTAGGAGAATGCTATTGAGTGGTTATTTGGAGACCTTGGGTCTGAAGAGGTCTTCCCTAGGTAGAGTTTGACTTGGGATACAGCTGAGGAGGCTTCAAGTCCAGCTTCTGATCCTAAGAGGGCCACCGAGTATCAACCGTTGTTGGTACTTCATAAAGGGTGACAAAGATAAAGGATGATGAGGCGGATTCAAAAGAAATTGAGGATAATGAGCAATATGTTGAAGAGGGTTATGATTCTGATGATGATGGCCTTGATTCAGATGGAGATGCAAGCGATGATGAAGATTCTAACTAATATGATTGAAGAATCGAAAATATCCTCTCTAATTTTGTATTTCATATCTTTTATATTGCATCATCTTGTCTTGGTTTTGGGCTTTTATTGCAGACGTAGAGTCCGTATGACTATGTCTATGTGTGTGTAATTGTGTATCATGATTGTATGCCATTGTAAAGTATGGATTGGAGAGTTGGAGACTGATACACTATGGACTTGTTTATGTTTTTCACCAAATATTTTGATGATTTGAAGTTTTGAACATGTATCAACATTCATGCCTATAAATTTGCATCAAAATTTAGTTAGAATACATATAAATGCAAAAATACAAAAATTAACACAAATAACTTCATATATGTGCTTTGAACAGCAAAAATATTCATATTTCTAAAAACATTTCACCTCAGGGTGCCTAAGGTTCTGGGTGCCACCTAGGCACTACGATTTGGGAGCCAAGCCAGCAGCCTACAGGCTGCCTAGTGTTTTCTAAATCATTGCTTTCATAGCATTGCTCTTCCATGAAGTTGTCATAGGTAAACCTATCATTAAAAAAGTGAGATATATTTTCATGCTGCCTTCTTCAACAATGGAATTGCAATAAGTTAGAATAGTGCATACCCTCGAATACAGTCAACGGCCCTCTATTGGCACTACTTAAAACCTACCATTTTTTTTTTATGTTTACTTAAAACCATGCATTAAGCACGTTGTTCAAACATTTGAGTCTCACTATCTGAAAAGAAAGTGAAGCATCCAAAGCCCAAATTGAAAAGTAAACTCTTATCAAGAGTTGATCCATACCAAAAAGGCTACAAGAATAGTGCACTAAGTACACATAGGAAGGTGTAATCAAGAGTCTATCACCATCATCATCATCATTTGAAACTTATCTCAACTATTTGGATCGACTATACGAATCATATTCTGCCATTCTAATCTATCATTCACGGGTCATACCCTCAATCAGACCATAAGTCACCATATCGCTTCTCACTACTTCCATCCATGTCCTTTTGGGCCTTTCCCTTGGCCCTTTTAGAGCCCTCCACTTGAACCAAATTGCATCTCCTAATTGATATTGTATTAGGTTTACACTGCACACGGCCAGCCCAACTATGTCTACTTTCCCTAATCTTATCACAATTGGAGCCACCCCTAAGTTCCCTTAGATGTATTCAATTTGAAGTCTATCCTTTCTTGCCTTGCCACCCATCCATCTCAACATCATCATCTTAGCTACACGCATACTATGGATATGTTGTTTCTTGGCCGCTCAACATTCCATCCCATAATGCATAGTCGGTCTCACAGACGTCCTATAAAATTTCCACTTCAGTTTTATTGGTATATGTGGCAATCACATAAAACTCTGGATGCATATCTCCACTTCATCCACCTAGCTCTAATTCTATGCGTGACATCTTCATCAACCTCCCCATTCTCCTAGATTATCTACCCAAGATATCAAAAAAATAATCTTTTATAGGTATTTCTTGGTCATCAATCTTAACTCCTTCCTCATTTCTACTCGTGTTATTACTAAAATTGTATTCCACATACTTTGTATTAGTCCGGCTAATTTGAAAGCCTTTAGACTCTAGAGCATCCCTCCAGAGTTCTAACTTCGCATAGGAATTGCCTCAAGCCTCATCAATCAAAACTATGTCATTCGCAAACAACATACACCATAGTACCTCATCCTATAGATGCCTAGTTAACTCGTTCATAACTAAATACAAAGAAATATGAGCTCAACATTGACCCCTAATGCTAAAGAAAAAATTTATGCTAAAGAAAAAACGTTATAATTCTCATTTCTAGCCTATATTCTTTCTCTCACAGCAGATTCTACCAGCATAAATAAAGACTGATTTGGCATAAGAGAAAAGCCTTTCCCAAGCTGGTAAAGGAGAAGCATGAAACATCATCTCCCCATCTATAACCTCACTTTATTGATTGGTCTGAACAGGATACAACCTATGTGAAATTAACATAATGAAAATTTATAAAAATTCAGATTAGGACCTTTTGAAGGAAGGTCCTTTTACTAACATGTGTAGTTCCATTGTGAATTTATTTGGGTTAAACTTCAAAGCCCTGCAAGCTCTAAGTCTAGATGATCCGTGAATTTCTCTTGTATTTCAATACTTTCCAAGGCCCACGTCATGGCATCCAAGTCAAGAGAGATACATAGAACAACTATGCATAGAACAACTATGGTCGTCCCATGTTAGTATATTAAACTAAAATTGGGTTATCTGACAAAAACTATGGTAGAGCAGTTTATATATTAAGCCATTTGCAGATCCATGGTTCATGGAATGCCATCACTCGTCAGGTCATCATTTTCTTTTCACAAGTAACCATCAATACAAGAAGTATGCATCTAGTTGAGCTCAAAGAGAGCCCATTTTACTGGAGACAGATATGAAATAGAAAGAAGGAAGGTGGGTAGGAGAGGAACAAAGAGAGGCTAGATCAACAATAGAGAATGTGAAAGGTTAGAGATAGAACAGTTACGTGAATCTAAGGGGTTTATAATTCACTAAATATCAAGCCACGCGAAGCTTGTCCCATGGTAAGGTCATAGGTATTTCCATTGGTCATCAGATCATTAGCTTTTCATTATTTTATTTTTTCCTTTCCTTTTTTTCAGATTACTTTGGGTCATTAATAAACCATGAAAGATGACACTAGCATCATAAACAAGAGAGCAGCCAAATTAAGAGTAACTTCACAAAAGCAAGTGTATGCCACACAGATAAAAGGCAAGATCAGAATAATGGGTATAGCATTAATAACTCTATGGCAAGTCACAAAATCTTAGCAGTCAACTGGGGACACCAAGTAAGGGAATATATATATATAAATTCTAAGCATACATACATACATACATGTGCATATATATATATATATATATATATATATATATATATATATATATAACACACTATATACAACTAACTACCTACCTACTACTACTACGTACTACTACTCGTACTACCTACCTTACCTTACTACGTTACGTACGTACTACCT